GAAGCGATAACTCATTTGATCAGGTCGGATGTGCGATTCGGTGTCTCACGAGTCTCGCGACTGTACGCATGGCGATGATAATAGCCCATAATCCGAGTCCCCGATTCGCCTCAGGATGGAACTGGAATCTCATCTCTCAGGACCTGTGAGCTCGGTCGTCCGAGCGGGGAATCTGTTCTCACGTGCATAGGGCTCTCAGCAGTCAGATACTTCGTAAAGGGATGGAGCGGCAGTATTCGTTGAATTTCACCCTGCTGGCAGCAGAATTCCCGCGTCCTGACTGCCTTCCACCGTGTAGATTATCTGCTTCCAGGAGCCCGTCTCGGGAGCGTCTTCTGAGCAATACCTAGTCCCAGGTGGACTGAAGCCTGGCTCTGAGCTTTATCCGATCCAAATGCTGACCCTGAGGACCGATCGTCGAGCTATTCCCCATCGCCCCTACCACGCATTTTGAAGGAGGACGAGGGTATCGATCCCCCACTCTCTCCGTGGATCAATCGCCGCTTCTTCGATGTTCACAGGAGTCGCCATCCTGAAAACCACTGCGCCTTACGCTGCGTCGGTCGTGTCGCATCCGTTCCTGGTCGCGAGCATTCATGGACCGGGCGAAATTTTTTCGAGCTCCGTCGAGACCCGTGAGTTGTCGCTTGCGGCGGACAATGAGATGTGATTCGAGGGATGCGACCACGTTATTCAAACTTCCAGAGGCGTACGCATAACATGCGCAGCACGGTGTGCGCCGCCCCGGGCAGCATCCTTCTGGGCGCTATCTGAGGCAGCTTCCCGTGTCATTTTCTCTTCGGACTCCCCCGCGGAAGGAATCGGCGCGGGAAGCGATTTCCATCGACCACGCACCAAAACCTCCGGACAATCGCCCCAGGCGGCCTATTGGTTCCTCTAAGGTTCACGCATGCAGGACCGCGGGACATCGATCGCGGGGATCGAAGTCTCGTGAGCCTCCGAGCCGCTCTGGGAGAACAAGAGAGTTCTCATCCCTCTCCTTGATCAGGATATACATATCGTTCAACCAATACTCCGAAGCCCGAGACAAACGATCCCATGCCGACTCTGGAGTCGTCCAAGCGCACCAAGAGCAACAGTAGACGCTCCAGATCGGGCTTATTAGTGCGGAAAACTTGAGGGGTTGTCGGTGAGTAAACCTGAATTCGGATTCTGGATCGCATTTCCTGACAAGCTTCCTCATGAATCAAGTCTTGCAGGGGCATCGCTTCCAGAAACACGGAGAGAGCTTCCTTCCCTGAGGGTGCGTTTCGCCCGGAACAATAGCTCACGAAGGACCAGAGATCCATCGAATGAAATAAGAGCCCGAATTCTACCGGGCTACAGGCCTCACGGGTTAGCATCGGAGCGAGTTGGGTCTAGAAAATTTCTCGATGGTCGGTCGTTGGTCCAGGAGGCTGGAATGGCGATGACTATTATTCATTGGAATAATCGAGAGACGTACCTATGTGAGATGAATCCGATGTGTCTTGGCTTCCAAGGTCGAGTCATGATGAGACAGACGATGGCATCATAGTGTCGGAGAGGACATTCCATAGAGTCTCTGCCGCAGAGTCATTTCTAGGGAGGGGTTCACATCCATGCAGGCATGACCTAGGAGTAATCGTGTGGATCTTCCCGATTCTGCGTCTTCCCCAACCCACCTCCGGATTATGTGCCCGATCTCTGTCGCTTTAGATGCCAGAGTCCAATGTCTTACTTCTGTCTCCGCGAACTTCTCAAACCCAGTTTCGCATGACGCTGTCGCAAATCGCGAGCATCTTTGCAAATCATGACTCCAGAGGCTGCGGGGCTTATCGTTGAAACTAAAGCTCTTCGCTCGGGAATAGTCAGATCTGTCCCTCTGCGGGGATCTCCGCGCAGAGTTGCGTCGCGCTCCCGAGTTCTTGGGAGACACTACCCGTGTAACCGATGCGGAAGTTGAGCGATGGGAGAGAAGGGACGGGTAATCAAAGATATCAAGCTCCAATGTCCTGGAGCGGGCTAAACCTGAAGCCCGCGAGCATGGAATTCCATCTAAATTAGCTTGGACATTTGAGCTTATGCATCGGATGCGACAGCAGGGAAGGTATGAATCGGAGGAGAAATCAGATGGATAGCTCTCGGGCTACTCAAATCGACATACCTCAGAGAGAGCCAATCGTTCCCGAACTCCGGCGGGCCACGCACTCATACGAATCGACTACGATCTGCGCGCGCGGAGACTGTGGTGGATCGAATAGAGGAGCGTGCCCGAGATTAGACAGATCTCTTAAGAAATTGTGAATGGAAGAGGTCTCACTCAGCAATTCAAATAGCGAAGACACGCAGAGGGCTTATAAACACGGCAGATAGATAAGATAGATGAATATGTGGTGAATATCTGTGCAATTAATAATATACAGAACGATCGATGGATACTCTCGAATATCTTCTCTGAATGAGAATTATAATAGTATAACCCCGCCCAAGGATCAGATTGGGTACACCTCGTTTCTTGACATCGTTCAGAAGACTTACGACTCGCACACTTTCATCGGGACGGAGCTTCAGTTCACAGAGTCTGAGTCTCCCTACTCGTTCCTTCTGTCTGCCCGTCCTTCTGCTTGCCTGCTCCCTGCTTCGCCAGCTTTCCTGTATATGGGGACATGGCTTGAACGACGCGAGAACTATTCGATAGCGCGTATATCATGCGATGGCTATCCGTAGGATTGTTTCTCAACAGGAACGTAGATACATGGATAGAGAATACTCAATGGAGGACACATAGGCAGCGACTGCGGGAGCCGGTGGGGGTCGACAAGGGTTCATGAACTGCGAGAAGCTCGAAGTTCCGATTTCGAGAGTCCATGCTTGCTCTGCCGAATGGGCCAAAGCCCCGCGTGGCGGGGTGTCCGCTCGATCTGCGTTCAAGGACCGGAAGAGAGTAAAGCCGGGGATTGAGAATCATCTTGGGGCATATTGTAAGTAATTTTATTGAACATCAACACATGGGTCCCAAATGATTACAATGTCAAAAGTCTCTCCCATCCATCTCGTCCGAGATGGTCTAGCTGGTTGATCTCACATGAGCCAACTCTACGCGATTATTCGAACGGCCATCGACGTAATGCCCCGTTCTCTCTCCTACGATTCTCATTCAACGAGAATTCCGTGACGTTATCTCGATATTCATGATACAACATGGAGTATAGAACTAAAGTGTCGCTCATCATTGCTATGGTTCCGAATACGAGCGCAACAATCAGTATGCAAGGGGCTCATTTTGGCGAAATCGGTGAGATGAAGGACAGACCACAGGTCTCGCGAGGGATAGACCGAAGTTGTCTTGATCCTTTCCTCCATACGATCAGGAGTCGCGAAGAGGTAAGAAACGATACGGTTCCGGAGGGTCACACCTAATATTGATATAGAACCTCCTCCCGATGGAGGTTACTGGTAACGAGCGCTTTCGCCTTGCTGGCCTGGTATCAGAGTGAGTTCTCAACACTTTTGTATTGCTTTCCTTGCGATGCCCTTCCTCGAAACTTCCACAGAACCGGATCTCATTGATCTCAGTCAGATAGACAGTGAATTTTGTGCTTCGCGCTCCCGTAGACTACACAGACTTGTCCTCCATGTGATCCTCCCTTCTCTGGAAATGCAGTCGCATGCTCACAAGACGATCAAGTTACATCGAACGCTAGTCGATTCGGCTCAATAAAGCTTGACCCTACGGAAGAGGAGTACAAACAACGTGCATTCATGACTGGAACGACTCATTCATGTGGTGCGGTAGGAAGTTTGAGTGATTGATGAATACAAGACAATGTTACACATTCACGTTTTCGCAATAAGAGCATCCCGAAGTGAGATGAATTCCATAAGTTGCGAGATGAACACTTCGCCCGATAACCTTCGACCGCAGTCGGTGAGCTTCACAACATCACTGTACTGAATCCCAACATGTGTTCCATGGAAGAGCTCGTACGTACAAGGTCTTCCCGATGAGGATTGACAGCTCTCCCTTGGGCTGCTCCGTGCTGTCGCAAAAGTCTCGTCACGATGACAGTAATTGAACAAGCGTCGCATTCCCAGCACGCATTTCAGGACAGCAGGGAGTTCATCCCACGACGATGAACTATTGGTTTCATGCAGTCGGTGAATGAGAGCATCAGTTCCAATGATTTCCCTCCATAGCTGTCGGGGGGAAGACTCCCGGTGATACACTCTTCTGCAGGTTGGGGATTGCTCATGATGATGATAAGAAGATTGAGAGTTTCGTTCGAAATGACAGTGGGACTCGGAATGTATCGAGAAACTTGGGACCTCAATCCCTCTCACGGAAAAGAACAGGTTCTACGAGCCATGGCGTACCTCGGGGCAGCGGGGAGAGGGAGCAATATTTGCGGAGAAATTCCCGAGCGGCCACCAGAAGGTTCGTCATAATCTCAATCAGCTGCCCCTCGCCCCGGTCTCGCGTCGGCCCCTCTGAGAAGGGGGTCGATTCGCCACTGGCTCCACCTATTACGTCTCTGCTACGGCGTCACACGAGCCATTCCTCTCGGATGAGAGCTCTTCCCATTGTAAGATGATGATTCACACGGGGCTGAGATAGAGGCTGGCGTGCCGAGGTCCGAGATAATTTCAAAACATGCGGTCACAACGTCATCGGGGACCCAGGCATGGGAGCTCTCCTTCCACACAGTACAAATATTCCCATCATAGGAATATTTCAGTCTCTCTCGCATCTAAAAGGTGGACTACGACGAATGATTGCATAACATGGCCCTGGTCAACACCTACTCCTTCGCTCCCTGGATTGCGCGCTCGGTGGCGGCTCCGAGTTTGTGAACTTCCATTCAGACATCACAAGTGCTTACTACCGATGCTTCGAGACTGGAAATCCTCGTTCTGCAGCTTCCGCGAATTGAATACACAAATATTAGGTAGAGTCATCGCCCCGAAACAGAAGATGCCGCCTGTTCGGCGGCGGCCTTGATGGAAAAAGCAACATTCGTTTACATGACGCTGCAGGCTCGGGAATCGTATACTGAAATGACAGGGTGTTCTTCACCCCCTTCGCGGATACTCTCCTTTATGCAAGTGCCACTCTTGTCTTCTTGGCTGTCCGTCCGAGCCAGATAAGTTCTTGACGTCGGTTTGTACAAGTCGCCTTTTTTGTCACTTAATTCTACCTTTGCCGTGACGGGCGAAATCAACGGGGGCGGTGTCTGTTGCGAGAATTCCGGGAAACAGGCGAACATTGACTGTTGCTTCTTGAGGATTTTGTGTTTGGGCAGCATCTTGGGCTTTGCGACCCCGTCCGGCGGTGGCGGCGGTCGAACGGGACCCTGTTGGCGCGGGCCGCCGTTCCACGCTCCTGCGAGATGGAGATGTTCTCGACTGCCGTGAGGCGATGCCGAGCTTCTTTTCAGGTCCTCCAAAGGACTCGTGGAGATTATGTCGTGGTAAGGCGATGGCGTCTGGTGTGAAAAGAGAAAGAAATTATCATGGAGTAATTGTTATAGCCTAATTACCGTTTTTTTCGCCGAACAGCCGGTCTTGCCGGCTGCATACTTCGATGAGCCGCCCGGAATGGAGGCTCATTGGCAACTCACCGCTTGTGAGGATGACTGCTGCTGTAGTTTGATGTTCATGAGTGCGGACGATCGGTGATGGTCCCAGTAGAAGGAATCGAAGGACTGCTCTCGTTTCAGCTCTCCTTTGAGGAGCGTTCGTTTGGGCACAACACCACGCATGGCGAGAGACCCTACGGCACAAATCAAATTTTCATGAGCCCGCGGAGCTCTCAGTATCACATTACTGGAGGTAAATTCTTCTTCCTCAATCAGAGTAGGTACACAGAGACCGAAGCCAAATTAAGATACTGATGGCAGGACCGATGAGAGGACCACTCCCCTCTCCCCTACGGGTTTAGCCCTTTTTCTCGCCAAAACAGCTCTCCTCGCGTATTCGACAACGGGCCCTCTCGGAAGATGGACCTATACGTTTGTCTCGGATGGAGAATCGCGGGGGTGTCGCCTCCGCCGAGAGCAGTGTCCTGCTGAAACGTCAGGCTCCCCCGGAGGAAATGGGCTCTCGCTCCGAGAGTCGCTGCTCTAGGGAGACATCTTCTCTATCGAAGTTCGGCGCGGGAATGCCGGCAAGCGGGAACGTCGACGGAGTTTTGTGGGATATCGGGCGTCGACGAGGTTTTGTGAGATATCGGGCGTCGACGGAGTCTGGCAAGCATGTACCGGAGGCCAAATGAGCGAGCAAGGAGCCCGGTAAGCAGGAGCATCCATCTATTTATACACAGTTCTAATCGATTGACCTATTCGAACGTTCCGCTTGATGTGGTACGCGAGTCTGAAAATTCCAGCAGTCGTGGAGACTGCGGGAGGAGCGCTCATAATTACTCTGCGAACTTTTCTCCATCGAGATTACTCGGTTCACGGACGAGCACGAGAGGCCAAAACGAGAATTATCGGACGAGGCCTCGGAGAGATTCACCGAGGGAATTCCGGAACATCAATCTGGGCCAAAAAAGTCGCCCTTCGACTGAGAGAAGCGATTTCGGAGGAGAAACCTGATTCAATCTCGGTCTTACGAGACATCACGAAGAGTTGTGACCCTGATAACGATTATATTTTCACAAGCGAGCCTAAAACTCGACAAACTGAAGCTTCCGATAAATATCGGACATTCCGCCCATTCGTGATGGAGATGCCCTCGGTGGCAGGAGACCTTCGAGCTTCCCGTTCCGTAATATTTCCGGAATATATACGTCTAACGATCGATTAACTTCTCAGTCATTCGATCGGCTGGGTGACTCAGTGCTCGCTTGATGATTATTATCGGTCGCTGTATTGTCGCCGCGAGTCTTCCGCCGACTGTAGATTTCTCCCTCCTTCCCTGTCTCTTTCGTTATACCGCACTGCGCATGCAGTGTTAGGATGTGGAGGAGGAATTCTCGCTTTTCGCTCCAAGAAGAAGCTCGAGCATCGCTCATATCTTACCGAGTTTCTCTTCGTGGTTGAGTTGGCTGAATGCATTGAAGGTTTCGAGCGAGAGACCCTGAGCTGGATTGTTCAACAGTCGGAGTAGGGGAACACAGCTACTGGAAGCCAACTGGACCGCTATATTGCTGCAGTGAAGAGATGTTGCCACTCTCAGGGAGGACACGTGGAGATCGAATGAAGCGACCCGGTGTCCGTTTGAAGTGTTCCATAGCTGAACTGTGTTGTCATCGGAGCCTGCGGCAGAAGGATCGAACCGTCCGCGCGAATTAGAATACCTGTGCATAGGACACCTAGCGGAGCGCGGGCAAGATAGACCCGGTCTGATTTCTTCGAACTCGAGGGTCACAGGGATTTCGCCAGATTCGGGGAGGGTTTCCCGAGGAAAACTTACAGGATATCGCGACACTTGCGTCAAGAGTGAGTTTAACGTCCTTAATTGCATTGGTGTGTCCCCGGAGCGTGAAGCTGTCGCTCCCGGTCGTCATGTCCCACACGATGAGATTGCAATCGAGGGATCCAGACACCGCCATCGTATTGTTCAACGGCGCGACAGCGACGCAATTCACCGGCGCCTCGTGACCGACGAGAACTTGAGTGATTTTCGAAGTCGCAATTTCCCAGACCTTCAAACAAATGGGCAGTTCTCTGAATCGCTCTCCGAAGAATTTCACGTCGAATTCCCTCACGTAAGGATTCCGGAATCGATTGAGAGGAAACCCATGAATGAGACTGGGGAGCCGCCGTGCGAGGTGTGCTCGCGCCGGCGCCCGGCCGTATTGGGAAATCAAGTTCGGGGAGCCCATCGTTCGGTAGCGGGAAGTCGAAATCAAGTCTCGAACTCACCTTCAGTGATTTGTCCTGCGAACCGGTGACGAGAATTTTCCCATCGAACGTGACTGTGTAGGCGAGGATGACATCACTGTGACTCACGGTTTTTTCGTTATCGATATCCTGCAGAGGCCAGTATTTGACCTGATTGTCGTTTTTCCCTCCGATAGAAAACACGCAATTCTGGTGTAAAGTGACTTGATTGAAGGGTTTCTTCGCGTACGAAGTGAGCGTCTGACCGGAGTCCGCCTGCCAGATCTTATGCACTCCCCCGGAATCGACAGAGAGAATCCGTCTGCTGTCGGCTGTGATATTGAGACTGAGGATCTTGCTCTGGTGCTCCTATCGGAATGACGTTGTTGGTGCGGCGGGGGTCGCGGCAGAAGATGGCATGAGGGTGGCAGAAGGGGACAAGAGGAAGAGCGATGACAGGTTATTAAATCTTCTAATCCCAGTCATTTGGGAATCGGTGGAGCATACCAACATTGTTACGCTGCGAGACTCGCTACTCGAGCTCCATTGTTTGCCGTTCGTCGCCGTTCTCGGTATCCGACGCCTGACTGATGAACGATCGCAGAATCGGGCTCTTACCTTGAATGTGCAGATGGGCAGACCGAGCGAGAGTGCCCATACTTTGCAGGTCCCGTCTTCGGAGGCCGACACGACGAACAGACCATTGTGAGCGAACTGCAAAACTGTTATGGCTGTCGTGTGACCTTCGAGATTCTGCGACGGTTCTCCGACGCTTAACGTCCACAACTTGAGGAGTCCGGTCCTGGAGCCTGTTGGGAGAACAATTATTCTCAGGATTAGGGACGAGGTGCGTGGCTGATAATGAGATCGATGAGACGCCATTGGATTTGAATTTCCAGCGGTCTTCCAATTTCCGACCCGCGACGACACTTCCTCAAGGAGAGTCGCTTTCTGACAACGGAAGACTTCTTCCACGGTATCTGATGCGTATACATATTCTGCTCTGGCTTATCAACGCCCTTTCAGATTTACACGTCCAATTCACGTCCGGCCAGTCTTTCTGTGACTCACGATTCGTGGGCTTGCTCATTTGCGCCGCTCATCTGATTGTGAGACGCTGCATTTGTTCATCCCCGACCGAGATACGGCTTCTTTTTCTTCCCGCTGATAACAATGCACGTAGAGGTAATTTTTGAATAACGGTATAATTACGAGCCAACGAAAGCATTGAATGACCTTGGCAGTGAACTTATCCGGGAATGGAGCACCGCCGAGCCCGTTCCCCGGCGGGGCTCATTCGTTTCCGGGCGATGCTCGCCCGCGGACGGCCTACGACTCTGCAGCGACAAAGAATGCTCTACAATGAAAGATTCGCGCGGCCGGCCGGCCAAGTCAGCTGCTAAAACAAACTTTATTTTCCTCGCCGAACTGTTGCGACTCCGTTGAACGAGCGAACGAGGCAACAAGCCGAATGGGCGGGCGGGCAAGCGGACTGGCAAGTAAGCGGGCCACCCATCAACCCAGATCGTTAGGTCCGCGGAAGCTCGCTGATGACGCCTCAGCTGCTGTTCATGATGATAATGTCAGAAGACTCTTTTCTTCCAGGTCATTTGTTATCCAAATGCTCGTCTTCATGGATGAGACACACTTGGTGTGACATTTGGAGAGGATGACGACGTTTTCAGAAGAATTACGCACGTCACAGACACCCACCGTAAAGTGCAGAGTGAATCAGCGTTAACGAGACCTTCTGGAGTACGAACCCGCCGCAATTCGTTGCATCTCAAAGAGTCGCCGAGACAGGAATCGTGACTTCTGGGTCGGTGTGCACAACGGTGCCGCAGTAGTGAATGGGAGGCGATCAGATGGAAATCTGATCGGGAGAGCCCTCAGAGACAGCTCTCGAGCGGATGGCTCGAAGAATATTGCGATCCTGAGGAAGTTGCAAGAGCGCGGTTCAAATGACGAGCCATGGAAATCACGGGAGGCTCGGTATGGAGAAATGCCGGCGCCGGCGTGCTGCTGTTTTCGACGACGCCGATCCGCGCGGTCGCTCCGCGACTTCTGTTCAAGAGTCTTTCCCCATGGCTGGAATCAGCTGACGAGACTTCGCATTGGTAAGTCAGCGCTGAATCTTCTCGTCGGAGACTTAAATTTCTTCCAGAACGAATTCAGGGACTCTATTAGCGAACTCGTTCCGTTTTGCGTTCACCAGAATGAGAATTATTCGTCTTGAAAATGAATCAGACCTCCGTCGTAAAAGACTATCCTCCCACAGCTTTGCCGCAATCCTTCTCTGCCTTCTGCTCCGTGTTTTCCTAAACTCATTCAGGCGATCTCACACAGCACAGGTTTTCCGTGAAATTGAGTGATTGCTCGGGGTCCCAAGCCCATTGCATGGGTGAGCGACCCGAAACTTCGATCTGAGGTAACCTCATGCTCCGCACAAGGTAAGATTTTTAGAGCGCCCAATGTATTCTCTGTCTCGACAAGTCTTGGGAACTCTTGGGGGCTTCCTCGAGGGAGTCAAAGGGGGCGAGCGGGAGTTGGAGAAACTAAGTCCGACGTGCAGAAAACTCTCTCTCGCTGTTAATATTTCCCCAGGTTGGCTCGTTTGACGCCATCAGCATGTTACGTACAGCTGCAGCGCCGCTCAAAGCACTGCATCTCAATGGGGCGTTTGTTTTTTCCCTTACCCGTACTAGCTCATTGTTTATATAAAGCTTAAAAAGGTCCGACGTCCCCAGAAGAGCATCTATGGTGAAGCTCGCGCGAGGCAAACGACGCGCTTAGCTATGGTGACTGTTTTGCTAATAAGTTGTGTGCTGGTGGGGACGGCTCTCGCCAGTCATACCCACATCGGTGTTGGAATCTACGAAAGAGGAGATCGTGTCGGAGGTCTCAGTGATCCTTACGGACGGAATGAATACGACTATGGATATTCGCGAGGTTGGTCTTATGATTTTTGTAGCTCGAATTTCGAAGCACCAGAAGTTTGAGCGTGTTGGAACCCTGGCTCACAAAAGCGATCCGAGGGCATGGTATCACAAATGCGGAGAGAGCAACGTTGACAAGAGAATGGGTCTAGAAAGAACAATCATAGATCTTCTAAAGACTCGGTGCCATTTTGTCACGAAAAAAGCTCGAGCTGAGCTGAGATCGTTCCGCGGAGCTGATTTCCGCTCGAATCCACCAGGTCCCTGGCTCAGGGAAGCGAGGGTGTACATCATCGGTCCAAGCCCTCTTCGACTGATTTTAGCTTAATCCGATAGTCTCGAGACAATGCGTTCTTATCGCGCTAGGTCGAAAGCAGGAATATCCGCCTGCGACAGGATATCAACCTTCCTGCCGGAAGACCTGCCGGAAGACCTGACGGAAAACCTGACGCAAAACCGGTCGGGGAAGCCGACTGAAAACCTGTCGGAGAACCTGGCGAAAAGCTCGGAAGGAAGCACGGCGGGACGCCCGGCGGAAGCCCCGACGCGAGCCTTACCGGATACGAAGCCCCACCCCTCTCGCTCGGGGAGCGTAGTTTCACGAAGTGAGCGCGGAAGCGCACGTTCTGCATACGGAGTACCGGACACGCTGACCATCTCGCCGGTAGCAATAGGCAGTAAACTATGCGGAACGGACGGATAGCAGAATCCGCTCCGGAGGAGCTTCCACGTCGTGTTCGGGTTGCCTATTTTCCCTTCGTCGAGTGTTCCTACGCGGATACTTGGTCGGCGAGGGCGACGGTGAAGACAGAGACAATGTTGATGATGGAAAAGGCGGCGGCGAGCGGAATTCCCCCAGTCGAGGTTCCATGATGAAGGAGAAGAGCGATAGTCCAGCCCCGGAACAATCCGACAAGGTCACGGCAATTGATCATTCTGAGTTGGTTGGCTTGCTCTTGAAAAAATCCGGATCATGATCAACTCCATTACCATTATAATGCAAAATCTCCCAAACTTTTCAAGCGGATCCTGGATGCCTCTAGCCGTCGAGCGTATAGTCGAGCATATCTAATCAGGCGGACCCGCTCCGCCTTTTTTCCGAGCGTCGCATCGAATATGAACCACTTCCGATGACTAGGAGCCCCGCATTGAAGTCGACTGAGCGGACGTTTCGGAAGTCGGGATAACGTTCTCGGAGCTCGTTCTGTTTCGAGTATTCTCTTTGTCAGCCTACGCCGAGCAGCTATTTCGATCGGTCTCAAGTTTCCCTTTGTTTCGAATTCCCCCAGGGAGGATCTCTTACGAGGAAGATGACCATCGACGAGGGTATCAACGACCGAGCTACGGGCGACGTCCTTCAACGAGCTCGGGCAGAGATCGCTTCGACCGGGACCGCTACGATTACCGCGGCCACGACCGTTCATATGGACGTGAGGGTTACGACCGTCGCGACAGTTATCCGAGGGGCGACCGCGGTAGCAGTTTCCGAAACAATCGAGGATACAATCACGGATATGACAGAGCTGTCGACCGAACTTACGATCCTGCTGACCGCTATGGTCGTCACGACCGCCACGACCGTTATGACAGGTTTGGTAAGATCCTTCAGAACTCACTCGCATTGTATCGGGGAGACATCTCCGTTTTCCTGATCGGTTTCGATTCCTACCCGCAGCTCAAGGCGGCGACTATCGCCGGGATCACCATGATTACAACAGCCGCAACCACGATAGACGTCCTTACGATCGGGACAGCGATCGTTATGCAGGACATCATGACCGTTCTTCAGGGTACGAACACCGTCGTGACAGGTACGAATCCGGTATTCGAGCTCGTCCGAGGAACTAAGACGGGTCTAATAAAAATACACGGCCACGAACCGCATATTGGCTTTGCAAACTAAATGAGAAGTGATATCGTCCGCAGGAGCAGGCCTCGGGGCTATTACGACGACCGCTATCCTCGCGAAGGTCCGAGAACTTTCTTCGGACAAACCAGATATCCAGCCGGTACGTCTCTCCTCTGCGTCCGAGATCTCGGAAATTCAGCACCGCGCAGATTATTTTCGGAATAAAAAGTTCTGATTCCGTGGAGAAGGAGATGGTATAGCGGCGTTGTCGAGCCGTTCTTCTGCTTTTATTCTCTCCAGTCTGTTCAATCGCTCATTTTCGTTTCCAGGGGAGGGACAATACGATCGAGGTTACGGACGTCCAGCGTCGGGTCGCATCGACGGATACGAAGTTCGGAAGTACGGTTGGGACCTCGATGGATCGAGGTGATTCTCGTCTCGGCTAATTTTTCCACGGCCGAAGAGGCTCTATATCCTCTAACGATAGAATGAGGAGATTTGCCTCGTGAATTCCCATTGAATTCCACTCTTTTCCTCCCAGAAATGTCCTGAACAGCGGCTACGATCACGGATTTGCTGGATCTTACCAAGGAGGTTACGGTAGTGCTTACTACTCGAAACCAGCTCATTACACAGCCGGGGTCGGCAGCAGATTATATTCCTGAATTCGTACCGAAAACTTCGGAGAGACCAATCGCATCAATTTGTCAATACCATTCATCTTTTTCCGCCTTCATGATCCCATCCGTCATGGAGCAGTAGATAGCATCACCGCCCCAATAAACTTCGTATCGGCCTCCGAGAGAGCTTTGGTTGGGAAGGCATTTTCATAGATTGGAACTCGATTGTCCCGAATCTGGTTCCCGTTTTCCGCTTGCACCTGCTGTTCAAATCGAAACGAAAACACTTACCGGTGACAGCCACACTGCCGTCGCGTGCAACGGCCACACACGTCACGATGTCTTTGTGTCCTTCGGGTTTTTTGCTCTTGGGTCGAGCGGGATGGCGTAGTTCGCTGCGTTTCAGGTAGAAGTGCCAAACGGTGACTTTGTTCCCCGCAGCCGTAAACAGGAACGAATCGGTTTTCTGGGCTTGAACCGCGACGGTCCGGTGGCCGTCCGGATGAGTTTGCAGAACACCGTTCAGTTCGCCGGTGTGAACGTCGAAAATGTGTGCTTTGCCGTCATCGGTACCCACGATGCATCGGCAATTATCCTTTGCGAAGTCTACGCTGCTCACGTTCCCGGTATACCTTCGCGAATGGAGACGACGAGCAGGATTAGGTGCTTTCGATGGACTCGCCGGCGGTACTCTCACACAGGAAGGTCCGATTGTTCCGGGTAGGATATGAGCCACCGGTTTTCCCTCGGTGGGGAAGTAACGACTTACCCCTTCAAACAATGAATGTCTTTCCCAGTGGTAAGAGAACGCACGTGGATCGAGTTATCCTGGCACGTCATCAGCAGGAACGTCGAGTCGAAGGAAACCCTCATCGATGAAATGGCCGAAGGTAACGTGATCGTATTCAAAAGCGAAAAATTATCCAAGCTCCAGATGCAAACGGTGCGATCACACGAAGCTGCGAAGAAAACAAAATCGGTATTCGAATTCTCCACCGCCAACGAATGCGTCGAGACTCTCGAACTCCCGCCGCGGAGCTCGAATGGCTCCCCGGACGATCTATGTACACTTTTTCAGCGAACGCAAGCTCCAGCAAACCGTACTGACCTGTTACGAAAACATCGTCCCCGCGATTGACGACGACAGCACTGATCATGCCGCGATGGTTCTCGAGCCGTTGGACCATTTTCCCAGAGTCGAAACTCGACACTACGACAACTCCGATCGACGATCCGCTGATGAGGAAGTGTTCTTTGTGCGTGACCGCCAAGCACTCTATGCTTGCGACGTGATGACTTGATTTAGAGATCAGTTTGCCCGTCGTCGCACAGAATACCATAATCGTCGTATCTTCCGACCCGGTCACAACTTTCGAGCCCGACCGCGTCAGGCGTAGACAGGTGATCGGGGCTTTGTGTCCTGTGAATGGAATCCAGGTTACTGTCGGGTCCGAAGTCCGGGGGGGGGGAGGCCGATAACGAGGCTTAAAATATTTTTAGCTCGCTCCAGTGAAAGGACCCGATCTCTGAGTTTCCGCATTCTGATTAAGTGATGGGACGGCGAAAAAATTAAGTCCCGAAGCAGGACCCTCGGACGCGCGCAAAGCGCGGATCCAATCTCGAACAATTAGGATGGGCTCATGAGCTTATCGATCGAGTTCGGGCAGAAAACGAAATAAATCTCGGTAGCTATCAACGTCACTGTCGTCGTCGGATCGTACCTGTCATCGTAGCGAGGCGACGTTTAGTGGCGACGTGGAACACCTGGACGTCGCGTTCGTCTTCTTCAAGTACTACGTAAAGCTTTTGGCTGTCGTTCGAAACAAGCATGAGCTTCACAGGCGAAGGCAGCGTGAACGACGTCACCTGAGGCGGCAGAGTGAGGTTGAGCCACGTTGTCTGCGGCACCAGCAGCGGAGTCTTGGCGTTTTGACACCACGAGTTGGCCTGGCTGACGAGGTCTTCCAGAACTTTCGAGGTCCCGTCAGCTTTAAAGCGAGAGGAACGAGCGTGTTAGTTAATTCAACAGCAATGCGACTGTGGGCCCGCGACAACCATCAGTGGATTCCCGCTCTTGTGTGCTATGCACAACGGCAAGGTCACTCGGCGACCCGAGCACGAACGATTCGAGGACCACTTCATCCGCTCCCTTCTGTCTTCCGTGTGGGGACGCAAGCCAGGGGAAAGGGGGGCTGACGGGGGCTGGCCGGGGGAGGGCGCACACATACAAAGCTGGGCATCGTTAAAAGTTTTCCTCCCGAGTTCGTCAAGCCATCGAGGCCGCTGCTTGTTGCGCCTTCCGACACCGTATGCCGCGCAAGCGCGCGCAGTCACTTGCGCGATCGGGGACGCTCCCGATTTCCCCCCCCCCGATCGAGGGGGAAACGGATGAATTCGACGAATAATGAAGTCGAGGGATTAGCTGCGCTGCTCGACGTAAGCGCATCACGTACGTACCTGCGTAAGGCGTTAGCCAGTTAAGGATTTCGGTCGCCAACTGCTGGGGATCTTGACTCAGTACGTCGACGGCTTGCTTCGTCATATTGTAGACGACTTCGACTTCCCAGTCGAGTAGTCGGGATCTCACCATCTCGAGCACGGATCGTAGGTAGCTGACCGATGCTCCGCGAACGGTGCACTGGAGGAACTCGAAGTTGCACACGGCGTCATGCTTCAGCCGATGCATTTTACCTGTGGAGCGCAGAACACGGCCAGGAATGAGATGAGTTCGTCCCAAGGCGATTGAGAGTAAAAAAATCGGATTTGCTGCCGTTAGATTGGCTCCAGCAGCGAAAAATGCGGCTGCGGAAAAGAGTCGCTCTCGAAAGTCGACCCACAAGATGAAATAGTCGACGTGTTCGATCAGTCCTTCGACTCGATGCTTTCTCCCCGCTCGATCAGCTCCGAGACCGTGAAAGCGGAGCGTATCGGTGGTCGAGACGGCCCAAATTAAAAAAATGTTCTTTCCCCTGGACGAGAATGTCCCGGTAGGAAGGGGGAGGGATAGAGGGGATGGAATCCGGAGCCGGATCGAAATATACAAGGAGCGTTCTCTGAGGATTGATCAGGATCCAGAAGTCCCGAAGGGGTTGGCGAGTCCGATGGGAGATGAATGTATGATACTGTTTCCCTCCTAATAGACCGGGCGGCATCTCGAACGTCGACTTCAAGACTCCTTAGAATATTGCCCTCTCGAGCGACTCCGCTCGCCTAATGTAAAAGCCCGCTCGAGCTATCCTAATGTGAAAGCTAACCTTTCCGAATTGAAAACGAAAGTCGACGAGCGACTCCGCTCGCTCCCGACGGCAATATTCTAAAACTCTAGAGTGTTTTGAAGTCGACGTTTGCGGTTCCGGTAAATCCGAATATAACTACGGTATGCATGAGCGAGGAGACTGTGCAGAGCAGCGAGCCATACGAACCGCCGTTTCCCCGAAACTGCTTGCAACTCAAAAATCGCCTCGGAATTCCCTCTCGAATTCGGGTCGGAGTCATGTCGATCTACTCGAGCTCTGGCTCTTCCACCGAACACGTCGTCTTCAGAGGTAAGATCAAAATCATGGCTCCGAGAGCAGCGATCGGCACTTCATCGAGCGCCTGCTGCTCGAAACACAGAGACGTGCCCCGCCACCACCTAGCGTGCCGATCATACAGCTCAAGATTGCCGGAATCCAGGCACGGCGCTCCTTGCCTGGGCAAGCGTGCGGGGGAACGCACCGGCCTAGTGGGTGAGCGGGCCGACGGGCGAATGGAGCAGCAGACAATGATGCTTCCGGCGGCGAAGCTTGACTCCTAATTAAAGCGGCACAAAGGCGCTTGATTCGACTGTTAGTCCTTGACCAACGGAGCGCGATTTCAGCGAGGCTCTCATCATCAAAGCGCCACTTTCATCCAGTTACACGCGCAAGCTCCCTTCGGATAAGCATACGCTCGCGTATCAAAACAAACTGACAGTGATAATTACAAAGATGATAGTTAGTGGAAAATTCGCTGTCTCGATTACCATACTCGAGTGCTTTGTAACTTTCCGACGGGAGGGAAAGCGTAGATCCCATCGAGGCGACGCGTGAATGGAGTCGCATTATATACGTGTACTAGATATAGTGCTCCGTCGTAGGCTCCGTCGTGTTTGCCAAGAGCTCAGTAAGTCCACCCTTGCACCGAACAAACGAGTCCGGACTGTCAACCATTCGTTCTTTACTCTTGGTACCCGCGATATTCATCACACGGCGCAAGGCTCCCGCTCGCGAAGCTCCTCCGACGCAACGCCGCCTCCCCTGCTGTGAGCGTATTTCATTCAATCGACGAAACAATGGAATTGAACTTAGTCGCCTTGTCGTCTGGTTTCGGTTTCTTCCTCTTCCCCTGGTTCCAGGCTCATTCATGGGCTCCGCGTGGTCTCCGTGTTCCGGGAAGACCCCGCTGCTGGTAATGAATCCATGGAGTTCGATCGAGGCAAGAGATAGCGTTCCGTCAAATCTTCGCTGCTGCCGGGCTAAGACTCCGTGAAGACAGAGAAATAGCTTCCGCGCGTGGAAATTAGGAACTTTGTAACTCAACGCGTGTCCAGAGAGGTTGAGCCCTCCTCCGCGAGCGGGTTGGTTTCCGACGGAGCACACAATGGGAAAAGTCGAGTAAACTCTCCGATGAGCACTTCAGCTGGCCGGCAGTCGAGGGCTGATACAATTAATTTCGAGACTCGGGTGACGGGGAAGTCGAGTTGGTGCTCTCGAATACGACCCGGTTGGTATGGAAGAGGTTCCCACGGAAACCCAACGTCGAGGGCGAATACTTCCAAGAGCGACCGAATGAGTACGACGACAGATTTGAGGTTTTCAGCCCTGGAAATATCTCGGAATGTATCCTCGGCGAGGCTCCCTGAATGGAGAAACTCGCTCCTGACAGAATTCCTACGGGCGCGTAAACGACAAGCCGGGTGAAAGTTTCTCTGTTGGGGAACATCCTACATCATCTTGGTCCGTTCCACCAGCCTCTCGAATAATGAAAGCGAAGGCGAGCCCTATGATAATACGTTAGCACGGCCGCGCTCACACTCGAGTCCATCCTCGACGGAGGAGCGAGAAGACTAGCGAACGCGCACGAGCGTGCCCGATACCATACTATTAGAATAAGAATTGCAGATGCGTAATCCGGGATTTTCTCGCCAGGCGAGGAGGGCGTCTTCGGAGACGGTTTTTCGTCGTCTCTTTCTCGGGGGGTTTTTGCTGTTTGACAAGCGCACAGGTAACGCCCATCCACCCACCTACCCGTTGGAAATCAAGCGAGGATCAAAGTGTTCCTCTCAAAGGAATGCTCGAGCCTCGATCCACGGTGTGACGATCTAACGACGAGCTAGCTCCGTAGAATCACAGTCTCACCCCGACAAACACGAGCGCTCCCGATACGGCTGATAATGAAACGCTGCAGTCGAGCAGTCTTGAAGGAAAGCGGGAAAAAAAACCGAGCGGTACCTCGAGGGTCCGTCGACGGAGGGAAGCCGTTCTAGTTTGTCTTGTCAAAGCAGGCGTAATTAAGTCACGGAAGATTTAGCCTTCTTATCTGGAAGACCCTAATGTGGACAGGTGATCTAGTGGAATTAAAAGGGACCTGTATCTCATGAACTAGGGGCACCTCGTATACGTGCAATATGTGAGGAGAACGGGGTGTCGCACGGCTCGTTCTCCCGCTGCTCCATGCATCCTCCCGTGCGCAATACTTTGACGCAAATCCTGTGCCTGTGCATTCTGAGTGGATGAGCGGAATATGACGCGAGAAGAAAGATTCGTCCGAGTCATGGACCTACCTCCAGCGAGGAGATGAAACCACATTTCGTCCACTTCTCGTAGAACATCGGACCAATCATCTCGACGTTTTGCTTTCCCTACATCATCGTACGAGTTGCCCAAAACAGCCGCTTTCTCTTCTTTCTGTGCCAAGAAGCCCATGTGGAAGGCACCACCTAATTCGCCATGGCAACTCCGGAGGTCTTCCTCGCTGGCAAGATACCTGGAAGGCATAGCAGCCGATTAGCTTCACGGATCACAACCGATCGGCCCTAGAACGCTCGATAGTTTGCAACTGAATCGCTCCGCTGATCAGCTGATTCAATGATCTGTTTGAATTCTTTATCTCCTCGAGCGATGTTTCATCTGGGAAGAGCGAGCGACGCGAACTACAAAGACTTTCTTTGAGTGCTTTCGAGCCAGCAGTAAATAATGCCAGCAGTCCCAACCGATTGGGAGGCCACGGAGAGCGACCATTATTTGCAGAGCACTCAAATAGCTTTGAAGTTTTCGCCTGCCGTTGACACTGAACCAACTCGGGGATCGGGCCATCGGCTGATCGTGTCGAGGCGATATCAGAGCTCTCTCTCTCTCTCTTGTTCTTTAAAGAACTCGGAATTTTAATTGTTAGAACGTGTTTTCCATTTTCCTTCGGCCATCGTCTATCACAGCGGGTGCGGCGGATCGACAGTAGACAGAATATGATAATTTGGAAAATCTTCGGAAAGCCTCTCGAAACTTCGATCAAGGACGCATAATTCCGCCTTTTCGGGTCGGACTTTGATAAGCCATTAACGCGTAAGCTGTTCCGAGAGAATATTTTGAAAATATTCTGCTTCCTGACTCCAGTTCAAGATACCGCCCGAGATGCTACGCAAAGTACCGATGCTAGGGTTCTGACCACGGAGCGCTCACCTGTTTTTCACGTATTGGCTTATGCAACGATGACTCCACTGGATATAGGAACGGCAGTCAACGTAGGATTGCTTCAACAAAGAACCTGCGGGATAACCAAACGGAGAGAACGACGTACTTAGTTAGCGGCCTTGTGCTCGGAGGTTCAGTAGACAGGAAGCATGCGCAAGAGTCGGTCTTCGACGAAATTACCCGAAGATCCCGTGTATCAGAAGGTTTGGCACAGAGGATAGGAAATCCCCACCGGGGGAATAGAGAGGAACTCAATCGATACCGTAGCCTAGAAAATTTTCTTCCCACTCGTCGCTTTCTCGCTATTCGAACATCAGCAGGAAAACCGTCGTCGGGGTGCTGTACAGGCTTTGACTCCGGCGGAAGACGCCGGACGGTTGGACTGGCAATGCGATATGCCGCCCGCGAAGGGAGCCATTCCGAATCGTTCAGAAATCCCCTCCTCACCTAGTTCCTTTGTAACGACCATCCAATTCAGGGGCAAATGGTTGGAATCACTGTCTGTCGATTGGAGCAACTCCATGAGCTCTGGTTCTCGGAAACCGTAATTTGTGCATGCGAGGAACGAGCAAATCCTTTTCACTGGCTGAACTCCGTATCTGCAGGAAAGTGGAACGAGCAACTTAGAGAATGCAGGAACCTAGAATCTCCCGGGCGAGCGGGCGAGTACGAGCGCGCGCGGCGTCACTTTCGAAAACTCGAGATTTCAAACGCGAGTTCGTGCCGGTCAGGAGCCCGTTCTCCGGGGACGATTCGAGGAGTGTGGGCCATTCTGGTTCGGCGTTGCACCATCGCGCGCGCCGCTTCAGAATTTCCTCGACGAAGGTCGCTTCAGGCTGGGATTAATAAATAATCAATCGATGACTAATAGAATCGGCCGGAGTAGCTCTAGGTCCCGGCGTGGAAGTCTCTCTGTATACATGCTGTCAGTGCTGGGGATAATTGACTTTCCAGAGCAGCGGCAACAGGCGCATCGGCTCACCTTTGTTCGAGATTGTCGAGGCAGTCGTTCACAAGAGACTCGCAGTCTAGAGGAACACAAATGCTCGCATCCGAAGACTTCCAACGTTGGCTTCGTTCACACAGAAGCCGCACGAATAGAGGGCCCGAAGATATGTTCTCCAAAGCCTCAGAGACGCTGCGTAGCTGTTCGCAAGTTAGCGTTCGTTTGCAATCTTTGAGACAACTTTGGAGCATGGCCAACGTCGCCGGTCCGCTCAACACTGTGAAAGAGGAGGAATAATTGTTGCTTGCAAAATCGTCCTTCTCGGCTCCTCCACTCGCTGCGTAACTCAATGAAGCATGCCGAGCGATGAATACGTTGAACGAGTTCCTTTGTCCGAGCGAATTGATGATCATTCCATTTCCGATAGACATTTCTCGAAGACTCGAATCGGAAGGAAATCCACAGGAGTCAGCCGATTGGAGACGATCGACAGAGCCGTCGTAAATCGTTGCCGACGCCGCGGACTGACACCGCGGAGTTTTTTCCCCTCCCTCCAGGCTCATTCACCAGCGTTGTCATGTGAATAAGCAGAGTGTTCTCGGATTTGAAACATGTTCGCCCTTCAGTGATACGAATCATCTCTAGCGATGATGCGGAGCGAATCAAGGAACACGCCGCGCTGTCGCTGCCATTATTCCTGTTCCGACGGATGCGTCGTGAACTTTGGGGAGGTTTTACGAGTTGGGATGAAGATAGAACGCGGCAAGTTTGTGACAGTCCCTCATAAGGGGAGAATAAGGCTCGTGGTCCGAGACGTCTCGCCAAGCTTTGCATTCCTGTTTCGTACTTCGCTCGACGATGGATCGACTCTGAGAGTCGGCTCCGTCACCAGCGTCGTCGAACACGAGGCCGAGCTGCCCTCAAGCGACGGCGGCTGCAAGAAGCGTCGACTACCGACTCGATTCGCAATGGAGCGGCCGCCGAGCAGCTGTTCCTCTCCGACCGATCTGGCTGCACCTACACCGGCCATTATTATCGATCCGTACAAGAGAGAATGACGAATGCCGAGGACCACGGGGGACGGTCCCTTCTTTTCCAGCTAAGCTTCTGACGTAAGTAGATAACCATTATGCCAAGCCGGGACAGGCCTCGGAGAGAGCGATCGGAGGAGCTCTGATTTTAGGCTGTACCTGTAGCTTACCGCTGCATTCATATTGGATTGAGGCAAATATTTACAGAGGCCTATGTTTCGCAGAGAAGCTTACCCGGAATATGAACATAGGAATCGGATGAGGAAATGCGAGATTTCAGAAGACTCATAATGTTGCTTGATGCGGATGATACGGAACAAATAATATGCACGTTCAACGGAATGGTCCACGGCAACCAGCCGAGTAACGATGCCTGACTCGATGGCGGACACTTGAGTTCGTCGAGATCGTCGAGAATGATGACGAGGTCATTGGTGGTCGTCTCGACTTGCTTCAATAAGTCCTACGGCAAACAAGAAATCGTCATCGATTCGGACAGACTCACATGCGTATGTGTTTATGTGTACAGAGCTCGAGCCGTCGTCCGCTGCCTAACGTCCGAGAACTCGCCGAGAGAACGGCAAGACACTGTCCATCACCGAGAGTGACGATAACGAATTGAGATAAATGGAACGGCTAGCAGCAAACTCCAGGACGGGGATAAATCTGGAATGAGTGAATAGATGAACGACCGGACGACGCTCACCTGGAACCAGATCGATAGCTTCCCAAGCTCGAAACTCTGATGCTTCGGACTGATCTCGAAGCCGAACACCATCGATATATGAAGACACATATTACGCAGAAGTTCGGCCGTGTACGAGGAACAAGGGCTCTTGCCCACCGAGCGAACGATGCGAACCACATCGTTTCCCAACCACTCAGGACAGTAGGTCAATACCTGGCGATGAGAACGGGATGGAATGAAAGGGGTTTGCTTGCTGGTCGTCGTCGTCGTCGTCGTGGTGGCGGTGGTCGTGTTAATGTTATTTGTTCCGTCCATCTAATATCCGCTCTTTCACACTCGCACCCCTCCGAGTTCTCCAATCTCCCACTCCTGTCTTCTCTCTGCCGATATTGGCCTTACTTCGAACTAATGGCTTGTCGTTGTCGTCGCTGGTGCCGTTGTTGTCGGCGTTGCCGCCGTTATTGTTGCCCACGTCGGCGTTGCCGCTGTCGAGAAGCCGTCGCTCGAACGAATCCATTTTTCTACCCAGCTTACCGGTATAGCCTCTGGTGTCCGTGGAACTTTTCGCCGACGACGGGGCCGAAGCCGCCTTACCCCCTTCCGGAGGAGTTCCAATCATCAGGAAGTGCCCTTCGCGGATTCTCGAAAGTCTCCGGAATTCCCGTATGAAAATTCCCGTGACGTGAGATTCCTCGCTCCAAATAAGATGGACGGAACCCCGGACACCGCTTTGTCGGAAGTTTGTAATGGAGAGGTAGGGGGGGCGTGGGAAAACCACGGAGAAGACAGCGCCACTGCGTCGGGGACGACGACGACGAACCGGAGTGACAGAACCTGTCTCTATTGCGATGATTACGGAAGTTTGTACGTCTATTTCTTACCTGAGCAAGCAGCGTGCTCTTTCCGCTTCCGTTAGCGCCGCATACGACAATCGGAGTATGACGGGCTCTTTCTTCTTCTCCGCACATCAGACGCTGGATGTACAACAACGGTCCGTAGTCACCGTCTCTGGATTGCGACACTCCCATTTCGCGCAAGTGTTCTCTGCTATTGCACAGGTGAGTTTGAGCTTCACGAACCACTTCTTGGACCACCTGGAACCGCAAGGTGTTCGTCTCCCTCAGCATTGCATCAACGCTCCTCATTCCCATTTCACATTTTCGTATTTGAAATAACAGAATTCGATCTGCGAACGATCCAATAATTCTTCCTCAGAGGGCGAACAGAAACAGGAAGGTAGAAATCTGTGGGGGAAACGGGGCTCCGGGATAAACTGTGACCGGCATCGGAGTTCGTTCATTTCCCGGTAAACAGGGACATTCCGCGGAACATGGGTCCTCTGATATCGATAGCGTATGGATGACGCGTCGTTACCTTGCGGAATGTGGGTGGGAGCTCGTCCCAATCGGGGCTCTCCACGTCGGCGGCTTCGGCGACCATTTCTTTGAGACGCGACGAGAGCGTCGTCGAGAGATCGTCAAGGTAGACATTGTGCTCATTCACTTCGGGATCGATGCCCGATCCCTGCCACGGCAAACTGCAATAGAGAGATGAGAAATTTTGGGAAGACGTCGCGAGTAAGACCATCGCATCGAAGGCCGCTGGGAAAAATGGAAGTCGAGCTCCCTCTAGCGAGAACTACAATGTCCTGTTTGTAGGAGCAAATGCGAAGGGAGAGTCCTCCGTCTATGACGAGGCCCAGAGTCCTCCGTGGAGCTCAGCCATCACGGTCGTTCGTCGGGATGCTCCGTAGGACATATCATGTGCGTACGAGATGTTGGTCCGCCAAAGAGCTGTGAAAACCATCGTCGACTGTCTCGGGGCCGTCACGGCAACGACGATTGACGCAAAGGGGTCTTTCGTCTCTGTTCCGCGATGCGAGACGCTGAAGCGGCGAGTGGGCGCACAGCGGCCCGAACTCTGAAGATGTCGACGACGTCAAGGGCAACGTCGACAGGGAATTACCCTCGGGAAAGTCTTTTCTCCCTCGGACCGGTCGTCAATCGGAAACACAGGGCCAACTATGGCTTGTGGGGCGACCGTGTATTTGCTCAATTGTAGCGGACGCTCCGCCGCGTAATTCGCCTTGTGTGACTTTGTCGAGAGCGAAAGAGGAGGAAGAAAGAAGGGAGAACACGACTCGTTCGAGAGGAAATACTTCCTTGTGCACGGAAGTCGAGAGCCGGTCCTTCTTTCCCAAGTTGGACATGAGACAAAAACGCGTCCCTCGCACAGATTCAGCCGAAGTCAGTCCGCGAGTCCTCTGGCAGGGTTCCCGACGGACGTTGCGCACATTTGGAGAGCGGAGGCTGGGGTTTTTATTCGCGCGCGCGAGCGAGCCCCAACACGCCCCTCGCGCGTACGCCTACCATCAAGGGTGCTCGAGATCCGCGATCAAATTCTGAGATCTCACGCTCCCATTCGCTAACGACTCTTCAACAGTAGGAGCTCTCCGCGAGGCTCCGCGCGAATACTAATGCGTATATTTTTGAATACCCATCTTCTCATCGAGCAAGCAAACTCGATCCCTATGTGGTCGGTAGAGAACACCGCGTTGCGGCGGGGCTTTTGTGAGGTCGGGAAGAAACGCGATTCAGTTATGTTTGAATTATTTCGCATGCAGAGCGAGCTGGAACCGTCACACCGATCCCCGAGGCCGTATACGTACGGGGTGAGATCTCTTCCCGGTGCATCCGGTCAGTCGGTGCCAGAGCATTGCTTGGCCTCGGGGCTCTGATTGTGAGCCCAAAAGTTCTCGTCCGTCGCTCGACAGTGCTCTGCTGCCCAGCGGCGAAATCGGCTGGAAAGAAATCAATGCATGCATCAATGCGAACAACACGAACGAGGACTGAGCGATACTTTCGGGAGCTTCCCATCCGCAGCCGTTCCGACCACCAGGTCAGTAACGCATGGAAACCGAAAGTTCTTCGGTTGTCGGATGCGGGGACACATTTTCCGCGAATTTTCCTCGCCGTCCCAGAGCTCGTACAGTGACGCTTGAGCTGAAGTTTGTTTGACGCCAAAAGATTCCGTGGGAGTGTCGCTCATACTTTTTTATTCATTCGGCATTGGCGGGGAGCAAATACGATTCATATTGAAAACGACTTGCCGTCAAGGAGTTTGTGCACTCTCATATGGAAACACGCGCTAGCTGTTGAGATGAAAAGCAGCGCGCCTCCTTTCCTAGAGGATTCCGAATATGCACGGAGCATTCCATTCACCGACGTCTCGCTCGTCTACAGAACACATCTGGAGAAGGATGGAGCGTCCTCTCGGGAGCACTCGTTCAAGGCTAAGACCTGGCAATATTCCAAAATTCAACCCTTGGCTGAGACGTTGCCGACTCGAATAGGTAGCAGCCGATCGGACGATTGGGTCCGGAACCCGATCCGTAGGCCAGATCAGCTCTGGACGCTTCACTCGAACTTTGAGCCTGGCTTCCTCCACCCTGTTTATGGAGGCGCGCATCGCCTGCCTCGGGTACGCCCGGAGAAAAGGATTTCCGCGCTCTGGGAAGCTTCTGTCATCATACGGGGATTGCCGCCCTGACGAATATGCACGCAACCGACACCCTCTACCGTGCGTGCAACTCCGTGCAAGGGTCTCAACAGGAAGCAATATTCTTGTCGGAAGATAGCGGACTTATGGCGTAATTCATCTTGAGAGAATTTCCGGCGGGCTCGCTTTGATCCGATCCTCGTTCCCAGGGAAGAGGAAGCGCGTGAGTGGGCTTCGTTCGGCCGAGCGTGCGTCCGTCCGTCTTTCCGTCGGACCATCTACCCATTTGATCGCGAAACTCATTTTCAATCTTCCTGATCTTGGAACTCCGACGTTCCTTCGCAGACCAAGTCGCTCGGGAAGGCCCGACGTGGTTCGCCTGTGTGAGGTGAGCGTGCAAAGCCGGTGTGACGCACGGAGCCGAAAAGTTCTCCTTAACAATATATTGCAACTGCTGGCTGCACAGGGAACAAAATTGTTGGTTGTCGTCGGCTACCAAACATGAGACGGCGTTGTTCCGAATTGATCCTGGAAACGTGTATCGGCGGGCACAACTCACACACGGATCCGCTTCGCCGCACCGATCGCATCCGACTGTCATAAAATATGCCCACCCGAAATCGTGACTCGAGGGAAGATCCGCTGATCAATCCGTTCTCCTCAATAGACTGGCGGGGGGCGGAAACCACGTTCACGATTCGAGGAACTCACGGTCTGCTCGACTACTCCGACGGGGAAACTCGACTGAAAGATTTTCGAGGAGCATGGCAGATCGTCTTCGAAGAGGCTCCGCTCGACGAGCGCCCCTCGCGTGTTCACTCAAGTTCCGGAATAAACCGAGACGTCTCGGTGGGGATTGTCAGTAGCGTCGGTCGGCGCTCGAAAAAACCCAGCAGAACGATCCGGTGAACCCGAGTGTCTTTGAAAAATGAGGAATCGAAGGGGATCGGACAGGTTCTCCTTTCCAAAAACTCGTACGGAGGACCATCGCGTGGCCAGCACTGCGTTCCCGCAGGAGGAGGATAACGACGAGCTTTTTCGTTGTATCTGGAGAGGGGCACAAGAGGCGGAAACTGTACGTCTCATTGACGTCCGGGACGAGATCGGATGACCGCAACCTTTAATGCTACCAACTCGTATTGCCGAAAGTGGGCTCGATTAGGTATTGCGGGTGTCATTAGACGGCCGGAATCCTCTCAATTCGAGGAGGGAAAAGGCCGAACATCAGATGGGAAGTATTTTCCGATTGGGAATGCTCCGCTCCGGAAAACGATGAGCCTGGGTTCTCGGTGTCCGCTGGGAAGTGAATCCGACTCAATTCTCGGCGAGCAATCCATCCGCGATCCCAGTCGGGTTGCACTTAGAGTTCACAGCTAAGTTTTTGCCTTGGTGAAGCAAGGTCGGTGGTACCGAACCGGGAATATTTCCATTTCCATGCATCTCTGCCTCCAGCGCCGGGTACCGACGACGCTGGAGCCAGGGTCGTTCAGATTCTCGGAGACTCTTCCCGGTCACGGCGGGGACAGAATCCCTCTGACCGCTGTCAACGTTGTCGCAATGCTGGACAAAGAGTCGCACACACGCAGACAAACCGTTAATCTTTTGGCGTCTTCCCAAAAAACCATCTGATTTTCCCTCCTCCTTTGTTCTCTTTCTCGCTGACAGTTTTCCCGTTCACTATCTGGGGAGCCACAATGTTTCGTTATGTAATCTCGAGCTTTTTTTCTGTGGACCCTCTCTTTGCACTGGTTGTTCTGTCCAGGGTCGATCGGCTTGCGTTGCAGTCGGCTGAATAATTGTCAGCCATAGGAGCGTCAGCATTCTCTCTCGTATCGATCGGAAGGTCCGCTCACAGCAGATTGTCATCGGATGAAGAGGGAATGCCTCAGCTCTGACTGCGGAAGAATGGAGTTAGCGGTGCGAGCGACCAAGAAAACTTTACTCACTTGAAAAAAAAACAGTTTTTCTTGTCGACCCCGAGTATGATGTCGGAGATGAGATCGTTATTTCCAGTTCCGTTTGCGTCGATCTCGTCAAGGTCGCAGAACTTGCCTGCGGCGTCGTCCCGACCATTTACGCCTGCAGCGAAAAAATAAAAGAAGCGTTAACGAACTCAAACTCTCAGACGAGAAATTATTCCTTCCTGCCAAAACAGAGAAGACGAAAAAACCGAAGCGAAATTGAACGAGGCCACGGGAAGGAGGAGAGGGAACACGATTTCAAATAACCTTCGAAATAACTCAACGTTTCGGAATTCGATGTGAATCTAATGAGCTATCAGCAACGAGTGGTCGCTCCCGTGGCTTGTGAGTTGCCAGGCGTCGCTCACCTTCGAGTTGTCGTACGACGCAGAGGATCCGTTGCGGCGCTGATTTCGACAGTTTCAGGGCGTGACTCAAATGGCTTTGTACACCTGGGCGGCAGGGTGAGCGAATTTATTCATCCAATGATGAGAAACGCAGACACTCAAATCGGTGGATCCACCTCGCAGTGCGTACTTGGCTCCATGAAAATTGTCCTCCGAAAATAATCGGTGCACGTTGACGAATACGCCGCGTTGGGACTTACATGTTCTCAGGAGCAGAGGAGTGTTCTCGGATGATATGAGTCCGTCTTCGAGCGCGGTCTTGACACCGTACTCGAGCACCGTGGCCACTTCACTGTCCTCTTCAGCGATATCGTCTAAAGCAGTGTTCGATCTGGAAAAAAGGATCGCCGTCGCCTTTTAACCGCCACCACAGTTCTATACCCAGCGGACGTGATGTGCTCTAGAATTTCCGTCCGTGCTCCATTCCCGGGTCTTGTGTTCTGCTCTTTCCCGCAACCCGGAGGGCTCCGAGTCAGAACCGGAAGTCGTTGACGCAAGGGTTTGTCCTAACAAACTCTTTGAGGAAGAAATTCGATTTGTCTCGCTTCAAGGAATCCGCTCCCGCGGTACAGGCGGGACCCAGCGGGACGCGGGAGCAGGAACCACCTATGGGGCGGACTCGCTGAACTCGAGTCTCGCGTGGAGCGCGGCCCTCTCGATGGAACGGCGATTCACGGACTTACAAGAGGGCAGTGCCGGGCCGATCAGAACCCTTTCCGTTCTCTAATCCGTCTACGGGGGTACGCTCTCGGAATCGTTCACGACGCCATTTGGTCGCTCCACGAGTCGAAATGCCGCTCACAAATATCAGGCCGCGCTCCGCACCGTGACCTTCGTCCATCCAGGTGTTCAGCTGCCGTTTGTCGAAATCGTCATTCATTTTTATATTCCTTTGATCATCACTCACCGATTATTATTTGTTGAGCTCGGCGACGAATTCAATGTCGTACTCGTCGTTGTCGCGTTCGAAGCCGATGTTGTCGACGTGACGACATCGAGACAATAAACCGGTGGAATAGCATTGTTGTCGAGGGTGTACCACGATTCAAGAACCGACGTGTCCACGCCTCCTTCATGGCAACAGGTGAGAATGTGATTGAACTCGTCGACTGGAATGGCCGGGGGCAAAACGTACGGTCGACTCTTATTCCCGATGAGACACTGCGGGGCAAAGGTTCGAGTCATTCGTGGGGACACCCGTGGGGAGGCTGCAGAGATCATTCTATCGACATGGAGGGGAAACTTTAGGAACGAGGTAGGACGAAAACGGGGAAGATGAGGTGATGGGCAGAGAAGGCGCCAGAGGAGTGAGTCGTAACGTGAATGAAGTGAACTTTGATTTCGTACGGCACAAGAGATCAGCAGGCCGAGAGCAGTCGAGGCAGAAGGAATATCGAGTGATGATGGAAGGGGCGACGCGGAGGCGGCTTGCAGCTCCGAGCCCCGGATGTCGAGAATTCGATTGAGTGGGTGGATGGGTGAGTAGTCAATGAACGGGTCTATCTTCCTGCTTGCCGCCTCATTTCTGAGTTCCTCTGCCCCATTCATCTAGATCGACCTCGTCGTGTTGATGTGTAAAGAAGCGAAGTGGATGCGACCGACGCGGCGGCCCCAGTCATTGACGGGGCGAACAGGAAACGACTCTCCACCAATGAAGAGGCCACTCGACTACACAGCCAACGCCGATGCCGCTCACACTTTCTGTGGAAGCTGCGCTCGGAAATCGGTTCCATTTTCGAACATGTCACTTTCTTACAAGCAGAGGAAAAAAGCCGCTCCAACAGCCAAGTTTCATCATCCTCCGGATCTACATCATATCGATTCTGATAGGGGACTACTTCACCCTCGCTGGAGACGCATGAAAGGACACCGGATTCGGAAGAAAGGAAAGACCGGGAAGAGTGCATGAAAGTCCAAGTCGTGGGGGTTGGGGAAACGAGGAGGGCGGGAGAACATAGAATAGACCCAGGAGGCATAAGAGAAAAAGAGGAGAGCAGGCGGAGAAAATCACCCATGACGTCAGAGTCTAGAGCCTGTGAAAACGATAGAAGTATTATTCACAACAATGAGAGGAAGAAACGACTCACCATGAGGAAGCAGCCCAATGAGTTGTTGTGACAGTTCTCCAACTCTCTCAGGTGAACGTCAGGAGCTGTCCGAGGATTCAGCCAGGAGTCATTGATGAATTGTTGTATGTCAATAAGAGCTACGTCGACCCCTAAACTCGCACAATGCTTCTGCAGCTCTGGCACCACTTGTTCCTGAATAGCTCGTCTCTCCTGCTCGAAGTCTGAAACATGAGACGCAGGAAGCTGTAACGAACTGGTGATCTCTCGAAGTTTTGCCGCGGGAACGCAAGGTCATCACTCATTAAAACTGAGAACCCGAGTACAGGTTTTATCAAAGTTCCCCGTGCGGTGACTCTCGCGATTCGGTTCGCGTTTCGGAAACATTTTCGTCTCATTACGAGTCCACCTTCTGGTGAGTTTGCGAGCTCGCTCAGCTACTGAAGGCTGGAATTCGGTCTCGGAACTTGGAATGATCCATGAGGGGAGCATTTTCCAAGATCACGGCATAACACCGACTTCCTTGACGACGTGGTGTACTTCTGCGTTGACGCTTCTTCGCGCGTGCACATACATCAGAATCTCGAGCGTCTCCTCCAAGCCTGGTCCCTCGTTCTTGAAAGAACAGAACCATAGGTTCACAGCAGATCTACTCGCGCGATAGCGATGAAGGATTGTGGCGACGTGTCGGGTTCCGGACAAGCTGGAAGCTCCGATGCAGGTCGTAAATTATGAGCTCCTTTTGTCGGAGAACACTCGCGGAGTGGTTATCTGCTTGAGGAAGAGCGAATGACCAACGCGCAAACGAACGGATGAATATCTCTCCTCAGTCAGTCACTTGAAAAGCTGAACGCTAACACGAGCTCCCCCGACTTTGTCCCCGGAGACCGACGAGCAGCGTCTGCGTCGTGGTGGTAGTGGTGGTCTGATACGGAAGCTACCAATCTCGTGTTACTCTGGTGGTGGACAGGACGGAATCAGTAAATCTAAGCAATCCTCCGGGGGAACGAAGACTGTCATCACAGTTGTTATGCTGAAGGCGAGGATCAACATCTACCGAGCAACAGGATTCCTACCGATGGTCACATGGCCTGCGCAGTAATTGTCAGGCACGATACCACCGACGAGCTCATGTCGACGAGGAACCTGACTCATTCGGCTACAGAGATGCTTCGCATACGTGGACTACTATGAGTCATGATGCAAACCCGCGAACATTGATGGAACTGTTCATCTGCGATTCTTCCGATCGGTCGTCATAATAATATGCTCCATATTACCAAGGAAAGGGGATAGCAGGGGCATAGGTCGTGCAAATGAGAAATAAGTTCGAGACGCCTGAGGTGTCCATAAAGAGTCAGGTTACCGCGCTGTGTCGTCGAAGAACTCAAGTGAGCGTACCGAGACAGCTCAGATTTCATCAATGAAATCGGAATCAGGGAGAAGATCTTCGCTCGGAGCGTCGGATCGGTCGCACAGAGCGGCGAGAAGTATTCGAGTGAGGGAGCTGAGTTAAAGTTCTGTACTTTCCAAGGTTGCCGAGGATTCGACGTCGCTTTGTACGGAGCCACCAAGAGAGGCATGCGGGACTCGAGAAATCCGAGCAGCTGAGTACCGATCGAGCTCGAGGATCAATCCACAAATTTTCAACCCGCTGAATTCTATTGGATGCATTCATGAAAACTGCAAAGAGTTCCTCTCCTGGAATGAAGATGCTTCTGTCGATATTTTCGAGTTTTTCGCGTCATTTCTGCATGGTTCTTATGCGCGAGCACAAGCTTCACGTCCCAGTTTTTGGATTGGCTATCCGGGCCGACTATTCCTCCCGCGCCATAAATTGCGCGGAATCGCCTCTTTTAATGATGCCCCGAGATCAGACGCTCTAAGGAGGAATCAGCAGATATCACCCATGGATTTGCGATCTTCCTTCGTGGTCTGAATTCCAGTAGGATCGGTAACGGTCCGCTGAACTCGCAAGCCATCATCGGAGTCAATGGAAATAAGTTCTTCAGAACCATTGGCGTCGGAAGAATTCCTCAAGCGTTTTTGACTCGGAGATAATGGTTCCGGACGAACGGCTCCACCACTCGCGACGGGTTTCTGTACAAGTTCCCGCTTCCCTGGCAACTTTTGGTCATGAGGAAAACTTATCCGATAGCGGAATGGTGCTCATGCGCGTCCGGGGAAAAACTCACATCCAGTCGTCGTGGATGGCTAGCTCGTCCGCTGCCACCGAACAGCTTCAGCTGCTCGTCCTTATCGCTCGGAAAGATGCGACCGTCTCTACGAACACCTAATTAACTCAAGCTTGCGACCCTTTGGGAACTTGCGTGCGCTCACGACGGCCGGTGGGCGTGCCTCGACCCGGCGAACTGAGGTGGGCTGAGAGCCTTGTTGTTCTGTCGAGAGAAAATGGAGTTCCCGGCGCGAGACATTGCAAAGCAAGTGCAGCATAGCGGCAATAGGAGTAGTAGGAATAGAATGAGGACGACAGTTGGTACCTACCGAACTAGCAGCCCGTCAACCCGACGCTGACGGCGGCGGCATACCGTCTAACAAGCTAGTCGACGCGAGGAAGGTTGAATGTGTCACAAGATTACAGCTTGATGGAGAGTCCCATTGCTCTCTCTGGAGCTCAGCGAGCTAGCGAGCGACCGACGTCGTTCCGGCGACCATCATTCTCGCATTTTCCCAGAGGTGCAACTGTTGCTTTCATTTCAGCGCGTGGTTTCTACTCTGAACTGCACATTTCTCACCAAGCAGAACAGAATTCACATCTTTCAACAACTGTCGGGTCGTCGATGTGGCCTCCATTCCGGCCGAATGCTCCTCGGGCGTCCTCGTATCCGTCCGCAGGGGAGCGGTCGCAAGCCCATTCCCGGAGCGAGGTTATCCCCCGTGCCCTCGAATAAATTCAGTTATATGCTTTTTTTCCCGTAGGAATCCTGGCATCCGGAATCATTGAGTATCCGTCGGAGGTTTTCCGCCAGACGGAGCGTGAAAACTTGTGCAGAAAAGGCTCTTTGCGCACGCCAGTTCCGCATTCGATTTTCGCTGAGGTTTCTCTTTGCTTCCCGCAGCCACTGGCAGTCCCAAGAGCCGAGCGTCTCTCGAAGGCTCAGGGAGGGCTTAATACCTCAGCTACTGCCGAAAGTCTCTCTGAGCCATCTTCATCGCGAGTCACCCAATCTGTCAGTCAGTCGATTACGCATTGAACCAGCCCACGTTGACGGCGAAGGGGGAGAGTGTCTTTCTGCTGATCTCAATTCCCTCAGAGGTCTCGCAGATCGGACTAGGTTACGCAGATCCAATACGTAGGAGGAGGTCTGAGCCTCATCAACGAACGCTGAGAATGCATTGTTTAAAGATTCACGAGCTTGGATGGACTCAGGTGACCGTAGCTGGATTTTCAATTTATTCCGCAGACGCTCCTTCCCACCATTGTGGCTCATGTGAGATGTCGGCAGCCGGCCGACCTCTATTCTTCTCTTTTCGGGAAAGAATTCCGGTCATGAATTACGGGTCACCGAGATTTCCTAATATTCCTGGATCCTTCGCTGCGGCCGGCGTCAGACTCTTCATCAAGCTGAGCTTCTAAACGTCACAGCTCGATCTCTTCCATATTTTGTCCATCGGCTCCTGATTGCCCACAGCACATTCACAGATTAGAAGCCCAATTCTAACGCCTCATAAGCGCTTGCTTCTACGTCGACGAAAACCCTCTCGTGTTGAAGATCACCACCGCAGAAACTCAAGTCTTCACTCCGTATCGTGATGCAAGCGAGATTTAAACACTCGAGGCTATTGTCGACATTGATTCTTAATCATTGATACCTGTGATTTATTCACCGTGGTGTGTTTCGGGAAGAGCAGCTTCAGACAACTGAATTCGATTTATGGCCGTCGAGGCGATAGCGATTTATGATTGTTTGCATGAATCTCCTAGAGCTGTATGGCATTTCAGCACTTTCTCTCTATATCGGAATGTGGCAACGGATTCCTCTATCGACCGTCTGGATGGTAGTTGGATACATTTTTTAACCCCTTCCGGGGATTTTCTATAAGAATGAAGGTGGTCGTCGGATTGGGTGGGGAAGTATTCAGGAAATAATTCACCGAATGATGAATTTGATGCTGAAACATCCGATACGGAGTGGGACGAGCAGTCATTGCGAGTTCCGGGTCTAGACGAATCGGGGAATCAGTGGATTTTCCGATGTGTGACGTTGTCTACATGGATTTCGCTTTTACGGGTGAGTCTCTCGAAGCGTCGACACGATTTCCCCTCCAGATTGTCGCCAAGCCCTTCCCACCACTTTGTGACATGCTTGTTTGGTAATTTTTTTCACTCATACGAGACGGTGCCGCATGGTTTTCCGTGTTTAGTTCTCTTTCCTGGAGTTATCGCGACGCAACGCGACTACCGCTACGACTGCGCGCGCCAGCGCTAGTCGACTAGGAGTTCACGAGCGAGAGCTCTACATCGAGAAACTAGAAACGAAGGGGCGGGATCGAGGTGACGGCTTCGTCGAGCAGCTCCCTCCAGAGAATACCGGTCCAGATATGCCGCGGTGGAGAAATCCTCGGAAGCGCTCCTCGTCAAAGGGGTTATGTCCGCTATGAGTGTGTACGGCGCAGAACAATAAAACACTTTTCGCCCTCCACAACGGGTCCGCAAGCTTACGGTCAACGTCTTCCGCGGTCGGCAGCCGTCGGGGGGAAAGCATTATCAAGTCTCTGCCGCCTCCGCTGCCGCCGCCGGCAACTCCTGACGAATGATCCCGCGGGAGATTCCTGAGCAATCCATTCATCATGGGTAACTTCAATTAGAGTTTTGAGAATTCGTTGGAAACTATTCCGAGAAGGTCCCTCACCCATAACCGAGAGCTGAGAGCATTCCTCAGGAGAGACTCTCAGCACAAAAATACCGTCGAGGACCTGGACTTCCAAGGCCTTGCCTACGGTCGAGCGAGAATATTCGACTGACGGAGGAATGTCGAAGGCTCGGAGCAACGGCGGCGTTCTGCGGCGAGCGGAGCCGACGGCTCTATGCGCCCGGTGCGGCAGCCCCGAGTCGATACACCGGCTCATTCCCTCGACATCACTTAGCGAAAATCGAAAGTTCCCGATCCTAGACGATTGGTGGCACTTTGACAGCCTTCCCTCGGTGAGGATCATAAATGAACAGAGAGGGAGACTAATTCGGAGACGGGAGCTAATTCTATTACAGTCGAAGCGCTTCGACAATCTTGACTTTTTTGCCAGTTGCCCTCGACAACAGACACATCCAGCCAGGATGTTTGCATTCTCGACCAAGGAGAAACGAACCGATAGATAGACAGAGAGGAAACGGCAGACTTCCTCCGAATAGAATTTAGGACTATTCGCTTTAGATGCGAAAAGTCCCAGATCCCCTTCAGATTTGGATTAAAGCGTTCGGAACTTGCCCAAACTGGATTTCGCAGCCTCCTCCCTACTGAGGAAAATACGGGAAAGGTCGATCTCGGGAGCTGAGTCTTCGAGAACGATTTCAAAATGAACGCGAGCACGAGTTCGACCATGTACCTATTCCGAAGAGGAACGATGTTCGGGAAAGATCGGCACCTGCTCGTATGCAACGAATTGTGAATCATGACAGAATCTTACCGCTTTTTGAGGAACTGAGAACGACCTTCAGGATTCGGGCCGGCGGGTCCGGAACGGATGTGAGATTCCCTTGCAGGACAGCCTGTAGGATATGGTCCTGGTAGAGACTAGCCGATTGAGCCATCCTAATGGTCCTACCACTGTTGCTTCTGGGGGCCCGGGCAGCGACGACGGAGCCGCAGACGACGACAGCAACGCAGCGACGGCGGTGACAGGAGAACCAATTCAGATGATAACTGGCTCTTATTTCTTGTCCCCTACAGGATACAAGGACGCTTTCGGTCGGCACTTCCGCTGAACTTCGGCATCGCCTGTAACACGAGAATCGCTTTTAATATTAGAATGACAACTATTAATGGAGGACACTGTATTCTTTTCCCGTCGATTCTCCCCGACCCGGTGGCAGACCACGAGGACTTCCATCTCGTACGACGGATTCTCCGCCGGGGAGATCGGACACAATTCTGTGACACAGCTGAAAGGCCGGACTTCGGACCGACGTCGCTTCGGAGCAATAGATCGATTCGGAGCAATAGTCTCCGGTTGAATTCCGGGACCCTTCAGGGCTGAACGCGATTCAGGGACAGAGAGCGAAGTTGACAACATTTCCCCTTTGCGAGCGTCATTTCCGATCCAAGAAAATCCGACGTTGCGAAACGACCTGCCGTCTCGGAAAGTAATCAACAGAGTCAGTGCTCGCATTGTGCTCAAAAATATTCAGATAATCCTCGACTCTGGAATCGAATCAGCGACGGTTGGGACGCAGTCTGCTCGCTCCGCTCCAGTCTCAATCGGCTTTCGCATCAGCCAGACCCGAGATCGAGTTATCAATATTTCTGGCGTAAGTCCGAATGACTTCGCGAATCCGTTGAGAACCTCGCAGTCGGGGTGTATAGGTATATTCGCTCGTCGTCCGACCGTGCTAACCTAGATCAGCGGTTCTCAACCTGGGTTCCGCGGAACCCTAGGGTTCCGCGAGCCCCTGCTCGACTGCTCAGACTTTTATTCATTTTATCGAATTGGAATGAATTTTCTAAGCTTTAATGCATGCAGGATACTTCATGCGATCGTGGTCGAAGGTTTTGAGGTGATTAAGGGGAAAATTTGGAAAGATAGAGTCCGAAACCAATAATAAGGGTTCCGCGGAACCCCACCAGGGTTCCGCAGGGCAAAAAAGGTTGAGAACCCCTGACCTAGATAATGTTCAGCTGATACGATTGCATGATGTGCATTCGACGGTTAGGGACTCCGACCCTCGGATGGGAGAGGCTGTCGTCGGAAAATCGGCTGATCCGCAAGGACCTTGATAAGTAGATACAGTACGGCTCGCCTGATCGGCCTATCCGCCTTCGCTCAATCCGAGGAATCACAAAGCCGTCTACGTTATTTTTAGTCGCTTAATCGGTCTAGACACCTCCCCCGATCCCGAAAGACTCGATTCGGTGCCGGGCTGTCAGGTGTTGTTGGCAAGCACGGCTTGGACACAACCAGTCCAAATCGCATTTCCTGAGGAAGCCCCGTCCGATACTCTCTCTCTCTGAAACATGCAGATTAACGACAGCTCTCATCCCAACTATTCGGCCGGTACGGCTTGATCTCGATGATGAGCGATACAGCGATTCTGACTCCGCGCATGACGAATTATGCGTACCGCCGCATCCGGGGGGACCCTCTCTGCATGTATGCGTAATATATTATTCTAGTGGACTGTTTTTTCCCAGCTCGAATAATGCGCGAGGAAAGGATGATGACATGAGTGCTGAGTTGCATCGCTGCCTGCGCAGCCACAAAACAGCCGCGGATGAGGTCGCAACGCTAATTCGTATCCTTAATTCGTTCCCGCTGCATCGATGATCTCCCCTAGCGGCGCCGAACGGCGTGCCATCGAGTCCGACCGATTGATCCTGGGACTGTTGCAAAAATCGATCGGCGGATCGAGGATGGGGCCATATAAGAAAAAAATGTACGCTCCAGAGGCTGCATAGTGTTGTGAGGCCACCGTCGGGTCCGCGCTCCGCGCGAGATAGTGCCCGCGAGACCTGAAAGTTGAGTCATGGGTCGGCTAAACAAGCGCTACCGAGCTGGAGTAGATACGGATTTCGTGATCAATGAATCTTCGTCACGAAGTGAGTTGTTGCAGATGGATGCTCTACGGGAATCAATCGCTCCTTGAGAGCGACCTGTGGTTCGATCATGGTTGCCCACCCGCTCTCCATGGGGATTGTCTCTCGATTTCGCGCCCCAAGTAACTTTTACCCCTAGGCTACCCAACTCCGGACGGCGAGGCTTCGGAATCCGCCGCTTGAAGATCTCTCGATTGTATTCCAGTGGTATGCGACTACAAACAGACCCAGCTCGACCGACTGATTTTGTAAAATTCAAGGCTTTGTTATCAGTCAGTCGGAACCGGTCCGGAAATTCCGCGGATTCGGAGCTGTGTTCGGAATTCCTGAGCACCTCGTCGACTGAACTGGCTTGAATCAAGCTCGTCGACGTATGTATGAACATGTTCCAATTTGCAGAAGCAGCAGCGAGCAGAGCTACGTACAAACGGCGCGCGCGCAGGAGGTCCACGGCCGAGCGCTTTATCAGGAAGCTTGGCAGGCAGGCAGGCAGGCAGGCAAGCAGGCTGGCTGGCTGGCTGGCTGGCTGGCTGGCTGGCTGGCTGGCTGGCTGGCTTGCTTGCTTGCTTGCTTGCTTGCTTCCTGCGTCACAAGGCCTGTTCCAATCGTTTCTTCTCCATCGGCGGTTACTGGAGGGCGGCAGGCCGACCCCTCTTGGTCCTCCAATCATCCCCTGTCGGCCTCGGGCAACGAACAGGTACGAGCGAAAACCTTTGGAGATACAATGGGGTACCGACTGCAAGCGACCCGCCATCCGGGAATAAGGTAGACAGGAACACACGAGAGGATATTCGCTTCTGGATTCTCCTGTAGTTTTTCCCTCCACTCCGAGTCTCAGCGATTTTTGGTTCGCTTGCTCAGTAGGCGGTTGCCTCCGTGTCGCGGCGAATTCCCTCTAATGAGTTTTTTTATTTATTTGATCTCGCTCATTCATGCTTCAATCTGGCTCCGAGGGGATAAGGAGTCGATCCCTCACAAGCGCGATTAGAAACTGCGGGTGATGGCGGATACAGTGATTATTGGCAATCCTGCAGGTCTGGGTGTGTTGGGAGAGCCTCTAAGAGCCGGCCATCGCCAAGCTCATACTCACCCTCAGCTGCTCTCGGTTCGAGTCTACCCCAATGGAAAAATCTCAGCGTAATGAAATAGTTCGGTGAGAATTTGATCTCGCGGTGTCGCAGATTCGGAGACAATCCTCACCCACCGATTTTGGGACAGACGCGACGTCAGTATGAGCAAAGCTCGGTTACGCCGTCTCGTACGTCTGATGGGTTCCAGACTCAGTCAGTGAATCTCCTATCGGCACTAAGTGAACAATGACGCAACGAACGACAGAGAACGGGAACATGTCCTGTCTCCATTGCTCTGGCCTGGGCTTCCCTAGGAAGTTCCTCCGATAGAATGAGATTCCGCTCCTCGAAGATACTGAGATGCTGCCCTGGCTAGGGTTCAAGATCCAGATTCTGCACCGTCATCCGAATTCGCGACTCGCTTCACAATGAGCAGGCCCTGCTTGTCCGTCCTCCCTTTCTTAGTTTCCGAACGCCTCGCGACTCCTAAACGAGCTGTTGTTCGGAACCTCTCGGGGAACTTCGGCGAGAGAGCTCCTCGGAGGAGTAACAGACCGCCCAACCGATGAGTAATGATAATATCACTGTTGTGAGATCCTCCCGGTCGCGACTTGCGCCTTGTTACAGCCGAGCCAACGAACGCAGAGCCAAGATCAGAACAGACCGCACGCTCCCGAGCGAGGCTCTGCATGAGCCTCACATTCCATAGCTTCGAAGTTTCCACCAAAACGAACTCGAGCGAGTGCCTGGATACAGCGCTGATCGAAGATTCGGTTATTCTGAAAAGTTTGTCCAAGCATCAGTTTCCTTAAATTTCCTTAAATCGTTCCGGTCTCATCGATCGCTAACTGCATTAAGTGCGAGGATCATCATCACCGCTATTATCGACTGACCGGAATGAACGCCAAAGCACCGTCAGTCGCAATCGGATTATCTCACAGAGCTTATCCGTCCGATTCAGTTGGAGCGAGTGGCAACAAGGAGACTTCCCGATGGCCGCCGCGGGTCCCCGAATGAGCTGACCGGTCAAGCAGGCGAATTGTTTGTTACGGAACCCACCCCTGACGTATCCATGACGCCCATCCACGGCCGTAATACGCTTCCCCGAACTCGAATAATATGTCTGTCACGTTCGCGACAGGTTTGTTTCCCCGTATTAATTCGGTGACCCTCGCAGAAGGCTACCATCAATTCCATGGAGACGCCTATTTCGTCGCACGATTTTGCGCGGAGGCCGGCGATCAGTTCCATGGGACAGGTTCTCGCCGGCCACCGTATCGAGTATCGAGAAGACTGGCCACACGTCTCGCGCCGCTTGTGAGTTGGACGAGTAGAATCCAGTGACACCTGACGCGGGGAGCTGCAGTGCGGCGAGCCAAAGAACTCGAACATTCCGACGTTCCTCAACTTGTCTTCATTAAGGTGGCTTATAAGAGAAGCTCAGGGATTCTCACGCCCATATCTCTCTTCTCTGGGATTCGTGTCCGCAAGCGAGCTCGTCCATCTGCGTCCATTACGGACGGTCTCTCGCTCGCTCTGACGACGGCGATCGCAAGGAGTGAAGGAAAGCTCTCGATTGAGCCAGCGTCGCTTCTCGCACATTCTCGATGAATCCATGGGGGACAATCATGGTCAAATGAACGCTCCCGCTCTGAACTCCGTTCCGCGTTCCCGGCCTTCTATCCATTGCGGAAGCCGTGCGGTCCCATGGATTCACCACGGGAAGCCTGCAGTACGGACAACAATTGTTCGGATCACGATGCAAATGCAACACGCAGCCATTAATTCGGATTCCTTTCTCGTGCCAGGCAATTTCTTCCAAACAACATTCCTCTGGCTTCCGCACTGCGCACATGGCCGGAAAATCCGGTCGGCGTTTCTCTCGCAACACTTGACGCATGTATTTGATCGGGCCGTTACGCGACGTGAGA